TTGCCCATGGATATGTGTTTTTATATGGAACTATAGAAAAAGAAGCATGTTGGCATTGGTGTTTGGAAGAACATGAGCTGGTACGTAAAATCAATAAAATACCAAAGATGGCAGGCAAACTGGGGCAATCTGCTTCAACTAAATAATATAATAATAATCTAATTAGTAAAATTAATCATAGCACGAATAAATTAAAGTCGTTAGGATTGAGGAAATAGTGAAAATACTATTCATTTTAATTAAAATTGCAGACAGGATAATCATTTTGGTTTTTATTCAATTATTATATTTCCAGTTTTTGTAACCAAAGCCGTGGTTGACTCTATGCTGCTGAAGATAAAAAGAGAGCTTCCCAAGGTTAGAATAGATATGGGCAGAAAATTTGGAGAAGGAAAGCAAGAAAATGGAGCAAATTCTCAGCATGAATGGAGGGAGTGGAGAGCAAAGCTATGCCAATAACTCGATAGGACAGGTCAGTTTCTTCACCCTTTCTGTTTCCGGAAAGCCATCAGAGTGCAAAAACGGCTTCTCCATGGTGATGCATGGCTTCCCTGAAAGAGCAGGCCCCCTCCCTGTTTCAGGCTGAACATAGTTGACAGTTAACGCCCTCTAGACTATAGATCATGGCCAATCTTTGACCATGGTAGAGTAAATTTTGTTTTATTGATTGACGTGTTAAAATTGCCAGGAAGAAAAGTGCAGCTCATATTTGGCATGTTATATGTCTTGATCTGTAGAAAGTTCTGCATATCGTACATTATAGGAAACACTGCTCCAAGATAAGCGGGTTCCTGTTTTTGGTCTGAAAGCGAAAATTTTATGGTTGGACCCCTGATGGGGGCCAATCACCGAAGGCACCAAGCCAGGAGCTAAATTCTGATAGGCTTGAGTTTGATTCAGAACTATTCTGCTACCCGTTGAGGAAATAATTGCTAGATGTCGTGCCTTATCTGATATCGTGATACACCTGCCTATAGTATACATAATTTATTTTTCCTTGTTGTAGAGTACTTGTCTTTCCCGGTCGATGCCGCTGATTAAGCAAGCAGTGTTAGATTTCTGCTGCACCAAGTTGCCAGAAACCGTCACCATCGCAGACCTTGGATGTTCGTCAGGACCAAACACTTTCTATGCAGTATCCGAGATCACAGGCATCATCTACGAAAGGTGCTGTCAACTTGGTCGATCAGCACCAGAATTTCGTGTGTTTTTGAATGACCTTCCTGGAAATGATTTCAACACTGTTTTCCAGTCTTTGTCAGCATTTCAGGAGAAACTAAGGGAAGAGAATGGACCTGGGTTTGGGCCATTGTACGTTGCGGGTGTCCCTGGCTCTTTCTACGGAAGGCTTTTCCCATTAAAAACTTTGCATTTCGTACACTCTTCTTCTAGCCTTCATTGGCTTTCTCAGGTCGGTTTATATTGTTTCTTTGGGAAATGCACTGTATAAACCATGCTCATTTTCAGAGCCTGAGATTCCTAAAAATGTTCCTGACATTCAAAAATATCCATAGGTGCCCCCGGAATTGACTGATAAAGCAAATCCACTAATAAACAAATGGAAGATTTTCATCTCAAAGACAAGTCAACCTGCCGTGATAAGTTCCTACTTGACTCAGTTTCGGAAGGATTTCTCTTTGTTTCTCAAGTTACGCTCAGAAGAAGTACCTCCAGAAGGCCGCATGGTTTTGACATTCAGGGGCAGAACAACAGCAGATCCAACCTCAGATGAAAGCTGTTTACTCTGGGACTACCTAGGTCAGGCATTTCAGGATTTGGTCGCAGAGGTATATGCTCTTAATGTTTTCGTGCCTCTCTCCAGGAATAATTTCCCATGGCAACAACATGGTAGGATCAATAATCAGACCAAAATTTCCCTAAATCAACAGAAAAGACAATCCACTTAACATGTATTCAAGTTTCTGTCCGTCCATTGCCTCCTAGAACTAGCTAATTAGATCGTTTCTTTACAAATGCAGGGCCTTGTCGAAGAGGAAAGGTTAGATACCTACAACACCCCATATTACGAGCCTCACCCAGAAGAGATTCAAGCTGAGATAGAGAAAGAAGGATCTTTCACCCTCGACCGTCTTGAGGTCGTAGCATTACCATGGGATTCTGTCAATGGAGGAATCAAAGATGACAGAGCGATGACAGCTAAACGAATGGCGAAGGCCATCAGGGCAGTCAATCAGTCAATGTTTCGGAGTCATTTCGGGCCAGATATCCTGGACCCTTTATTCCATAGGTTTATTGAAATCATGGCAGCAGATACCAAGGAAGTGGAGCATGTCAGCTTGGTTATTTCTTTAATCAAGAAAGCTTGATATCAAAGAAAGTTGCTCTGTTGCCTCTGTCAGGGCTCAGGATTTGGTTCTCGCATTCTGCTTGCAAAAGCTTTCGGATGAAATTGATTTCTTCTGTTGGTAAATTAGTTCTTCCAGGTGCTTTCTGCTGAAAAACATGGTTTTGAATCTTGTTCTTCCGGTGAATCAATCTAATGAGCATTTTGAACAAGAACTACAGTTAAATCCACAGCTTTTGCAGGTAGTATGATTGACTCCATGCCCATGGTCAACAGTAGCATTGTTCATCTTCGGTTCTCTCTTCTTCTCGTCTTCTCCAAAAACAAAAAAATCAAAATTAATCAACTTCAGATTATCATCAGTAAGCAAGAATCTTAGATGGATCAAACCTACACCAAGATTGACCGTTCTAACCATTAGGGGACAAGATTCAAGGAAAAAAATAATATGATTTTTAATTCAAAGTAGTCACTTGGAGTTATAAATTAAGAATTAACTTTATTCCAGTATTAATATTAATTTTTTAATCAAATTTACATAAGATGTAATAAATTAAATTTTTTAAAATCAATGAATATAGTGAATACACTAATTGTCGTAATTCGAAATATTTTTTTTGGGTTAAAATCAATGAATATAGTGAATACACTGCTGTAATAATTCAAAATATATTTTAAAAACAACATATATTAAATATTTGAATTAAAGTATTCTTTATAAAGGAGTAAGTAATATTATATTTTTTATATGTTCCAAACAAAAACTTTTAAAATTATATTAAATGAAAATATATTATTTCTTAATAAATTAGAACGAGATTGAACCTAAAATTTATGACCACCGCTCCAGGTCATGTCGAGTTGCAGGGCTGACTTGACCATTGAACACCTCTAATCATTGATTATATAAATATATATAATAGTTTCGATTTTATTAATAAACAATATATTTTTATTTAACTATATTTAATTATATTTTTAAGACTTTTAAAATACCCCATTAGCCATTGTAACATGGATTTGAATTATATACTAGCCATTATTTTCTTCCCATTCTATGAGAAAATAATGCAGAGATATTAAATGGGGAAGATAGGCAAACGAGAGAAGTTGGATTCAGAATTATTCTGCTACCTGTTGAGGAAATAATTGCTAGATAGCGTGCCTTATCTGATAAACTGACTCATATCATTCTGTCTTTAAACTTTTTATGTGTACTCTGTTCCACACATTGTAATTTTTGCTAGTCGAAACCATGCAACCTATATGCGGCCATGCAAACTAGATCATGATCAGATATTGTAACTTTTCATTGCCTATTGTATATATCTTTGTTTCTTATTGTAGACTAGTTGTCTTTTCCTCGTAGATGCCGGTGCTCAAGCAAGCGGTGTTAGATATCTGCTGCACCAACTTGCATGGCAGACCTTGGATGTTCGTCAGGACCAAAGAGTACTTTCTATGCAGTTTCCCAGATCACAAGCATCATCTAGAAAAGGTGCTGTCAACTTGGTCGATCCGCACCAGAACTTCGTGTGTTTGTGAATGACCTTCCTGGAAATGATTTCAACACCGTTTTCCAGTCTTTGACAGCATTTCAGGAAAAACCAAGGGAAGAGAATGGACCTGGCCACCTGGGTTTGGGCCATTGTACGTTGCGAGTGTCCCTGGCTCTTCCTACGGAAGGCTTTGCCCATCAAAAACCTTGCATTTCGTGCACTCTTGTTCTAGCCTTTTTCGGCTTTCTCAGATCGGTTTATTTGTTTCTTTGGTAAATGCACTGAACAAGCCACGCCCATTTTACAGCCCGAGGTCCCCAAAAAATGTTCCTGACATGCGAAAGTATCCATATACAGGTTCCCCGGAATTGATTGACAAAGCAAATCCACTAATAAACAAATGGAAGGATTTTCATTTCAAACAAGGCACTTCTATGTTACATGACATTGTACGAAGCTAGTTAATTTTTATTGAAGGTTAAAAATTTAAAAAAATAAAAATGAAATTTTTTAAAATTAATATATTGAATTTAAACATTCATAATTAAAAAATATATAATAAATAATAATTTATATAATATGTAAATAAAAAAAATTATAATAGTGCTTTAAGAAAATTTTATTCAATAATGGTAATATCTTTTTTAATATAAATAATTAAATTATTTGTAAGAAACTTATCATTCATTTTATTTCGAAATTATAAATGACTAAAAAATGAATATAGTCAACATCTAATATTATTGTTTTATTATATTTAAGTTATAAATAGTTAAATACGATATACATAATTAATAATTTATTCTTATACTCAAGATAATTTTTTTAACTAAATATAAAACATAAAGCACATTAAAAACATATACTCAAAATAATTTTTTTTATATAATTAGGATTAATAAAAATAATATTTAGTAAAATTTTAAACAATAACTAATAATACAACACTAGAACTTATATTTGAGAATTATATATATAATAATTTTTTAATTTTTAAAAATTAAAATTATTAAAAAAAAATCTACATAATAAAAAATAAAAAACCATGACAAGTAAGAGATATAATCTATATAACAAACCAAAAAAATGAATATGATTGATGATTCGTAAAAATTTAAAAGAGAAAATCTATAGAAACTTAAAATATATGAGCAAATAGAATAGAATTGAAAAAATAAATAATAATAATAATAAATTAAATAAAAATTTTATTTTTTATAATTTCATAATATAAGAATAAAAAAGAAAAGAGAGAAATATGGATGGTGAAATTTAAAAAATTTAAAAAAATTAAAAATTTGAATAAAATTGAATGAGGTTTGTAAAGTTATTTTATTATTTCTTAATTATATTAATTATTTAATAAAAAATTATTTTAAAAAATTATTAAGAAATATATAAATATAAAAAATTTTAAAAATCTACATGACATAATTTTTGAATAAATATATTATTTTAATAATTATTTTATAAAAAAAATTATTTTTATAATAAAATAAAATCTTTGAATTACAAATTTTTTATATTTAAAATTTTGAGTACAAGTGTTTTTTAATTGTTTTATATTTTTCAAATTTAAATATATTTTTTCAAATGTCACTCTTATTGAGAGACATAATTTTTATATGAAAAGTCATTAATAATTCAATAATCATATTATGTCACAACATATAATATAATTTTTTAATTGGTGAGATTTTTTAATAATCATAATTTTTCATATTAAAAACTCAACTTTTTATTTATAACTTTTCATATAAAGAGAGATAACTTTTCATTTTGAAAATACACCATGTAACCGTAAATTAAGAATTAATTTGATTTGAATATTAAATATCAATTTTTGATCAAATTTGCATAAAATATAAGTAATTAAATTTGAGTTTGAATATCTTAAAATTAATGAATATACTAGCCTTTTAATTCAAAATATATTTCAAAAGCAAAATATGTTAAATATTTGAATTAAAGTATTCTTAATAAAGGAGTAAGTAATACTATATTTTATAAAACAATAGTATTAGGACAAAATTAAAGGTATTACTTCTCACGAGAACTAAGAAATGAAACATGAGATATGAAATGATAATATCACGAGATGCGCCACCAACCCCCAATCTCTCACGAAACGGGGCCATTCGTTTCCGCAATCGTCTTCACGGCAGCTTCCGCTCCCACCTACCCACACATCTCCTCTTTCTTTTATTCTTCAAACAAATGTTTCTTCCTACCACAAAAACATAAACAAGGCCCTCCCTCCTCCTTTCTCGCGTAGCCCCCCGACCCGAACCCGAAACCAGCCTTATGGCATGCTCGACGAACGCTTTGTCTCTTTCTCTCTCTTCCAAGCTCAATACCAAGTCGTCGCCTGACTTGAACCCCAACTCCTCCGACTTTTTCCTGCGGGTTAATAAACCCGCCAAGGTTTCTTTCCGGGGTTCGAGTTCTGGTGAGTTGAATCCAGGCCGAGTTGCTTTGTCAAGACCGAGTGGATTCAGGGGGAGGATTTGCGCCAATGCAATTCAGGTGATGGATCAGTCAGTTGGTGAAAAGAGCTCCAGCGCTCCCACTATTGTTGAAGTGGATTTGGGTAATCGGAGCTACCCGATCTACATCGGTTCCGGCTTGCTTGATCAACCTGAACTTCTTCAAAAGTTAGTTAATCCATTCAGAGTGAATTCTAGCTATCTGTTTTTAGATTTTTGAAAAGAGTATGTTAAGTGGTTCGTGGTGCATAAGTGTTAATGAATTGTCGTTTTTTTGATAGGCATGTTCATGGGAAGAAAGTTCTTGTTGTAACTAATACCACAATTGCTCCGTTATATTTGGATAAAGTTGTAGATGCATTGACAAAAGGAAACCCCAATGTTTCTGTTGAAAATGTGATTTTACCTGATGGAGAGAAGTACAAAAACATGGTGTGTTTTTCCTTTAGTTAACGTTTTGATTTTGAGGCATTGTTGCTGCTAAGCTCAATGGAAGTAACAGTAATAGTTGTGCCTATAGGAAACTCTTATGAAAGTTTTTGACAAGGCCATCGAGTCACGGTTGGACCGGAGATCTACTTTTGTTGCCCTTGGGGGTGGTGTGATTGGTGACATGTGTGGTTTCGCTGCTGCATCTTTTCTTCGTGGTGTTAATTTTATCCAGATTCCTACTACTGTTATGGCACAGGTCTCTTGGTACTCATGGCTCATTTATATATAATTTTCACATTGTGTGCATTGCTTTTCACGTTTTTGACTTTGTTATACACAGGTTGATTCTTCAGTTGGAGGTAAAACTGGCATAAACCATCCTCTTGGGAAGAACTTGATTGGTGCTTTCTACCAGCCTCAATGTGTGCTTGTAGACACAGACACATTGGGCACTTTGCCAGATAGGGAACTGGCATCAGGGCTGGCAGAGGTTATAAAATATGGGCTCATCAGAGATGCTGAGTTTTTCGAGTGGCAGGAAAAGAACATGGAGAAACTGTTGGCAAGGTATGGGGTGCTTATTGAAAGAACACTAGCTAAACATTTGAATAAATTGAAACTTCTTCTGAAATGTGAAACTGAGAGGACTTTCGGTAACAATTGAAATTCAAAATGGTCATTGTCAATTTGTCATTTCAAGCTTTTAGGAATATACATTTTGTTGCCCTTTTACATGATCAAATCTGCTCACTGGTGTGCTTTGTAATATTTTGGACTCATATGCCTCTCCTTGTCTACTCCAACCTTGGTCTTATAGTGTGGTTCTTCCCTAATTATTACAAGCTATATTTCTTCAAGCCTGTATGTAATCTGGTGTTGATCATTGCAGGGATCCTAATGCGCTGGCTTACGCTATAAAGCGATCATGTGAAAACAAGGCTGAGGTTGTGTCATTAGATGAGAAGGAAAGTGGTTTGAGGGCTACGCTGAACTTGGGTCATACATTTGGTCATGTAAGATTTATATCTGTATGCTTTTTTTTTTCTTCCAAGTATAACTTGCAAATCAAGGTTTTATAAAGTATTTTTTAATCTTATTTAGAGTTTAAGTTGTATGACTGCGTGGTTTGGAATGCTGAAAAGGAAATTGTGGAATGGTTGTAAAATTGTACAAAATTTTGAGTTACCTGCAATTTGAGATGTTGTAGTGTCATTTCATAGCAATTATACTCTCTTTTTCAGTGGGGGAGAGGTTTGGATAAATTTATTTTGTATTTTCTTTTGGAAATTTTTCTTGTTATTAAAGGGATCTGTAGTCACACCATATCGCAAGAGCTTCCCTTTCCCTGATGTTTTCATGTTTCTTTCCAGGCAATAGAAACTGGCTTCGGATATGGACAGTTGCTTCATGGAGAAGCTGTTGCAGCTGGCATGGTATTGCAGTTGTTATTGCATTTCTTTTTGATCCTCTTCCCTCCATCTGTGCTAAACTCGATTGTGTGCTAATCTCAGGTCATGGCTGTTGACATGTCATACCGCCTTGGTTGGATTAACAGTTCACTTGTCAAACGAGTTAAGGATATCTTACTGCAGGCTAAGTTACCCACTGCTCCTCCTGAAACCATGACTGTGGAGATGTTCAAGTCTGTCATGGCAGTAAGAGCCAAGCTTTCCTTGTTCCTGTAAATCTCAGACTGCTTTCTCTAATACTTGACAAATATGTACAATATGGTTATTTGCAGGTTGATAAGAAGGTAGCTGATGGGCTGCTAAGGCTTATCCTTCTGAAAGGTCCTCTTGGCAATTGTGTTTTCACTGGCGATTATGATAGAAAGGCACTGGATGATACACTCTCTGCATTTTGCAAGTCATAGTTCCTGATTTTATTCATTGCTTGTCTTATTGCTTTACTCAAATCATTCATCCAGATCCTTGGGTCGTGTATCGTTATGGTCATGCTACGTGTTTATCGTACCTAGGATTCTTCTTCTTGAGCTTCATTGGCAAAGGCTTATACCAACTTGTAATGTTAGTGTCTATGGCAGTCAATAAAAATGAAAAATGCATCTAAAAGAATTTTTTTGGTTTGTCTTTCTTTTATTATTTCATTCTACTATTTGTTTACTTCTCCAATTACCCAATTAGAAATCCTTTGCCCTGCCACTTTGATAAGCCAGAAAGATTGTGCAGGGTGGGAACTTGGTAGTTTCTTGGCCCAAAATGCTTACAGAGTGCTATATTCACAATGAAAGGCGTTCTTGGTCTATTTGGGCCTATGAAGGTATCTCCGCAGTTTCTCCCACCACACTTGGATTTGTGTAATTATCCAAAGCTAATAAGAAAACTTTATATTAATCTGTTTAAATTTGCAGAGTAAAAAATTATAATGTTGACTTAATACATACACACACACACATATATAGATTATAGTGCTATAAGAGTTTCCAAAGACAAAAAAACTCAAGATTATGATGGAAAATAAAACATCTCTTATAATTAAATGGTAATGATAATGTACTCATAAACATATTGAATTTTTATTTTGTCTATTTATGAGATGACAATCAATAATTAAACGATAATGTATTGATTCAGGGCTTGCTAATACTTGAAGAACACCAATTCAACAAGCTATTTTATTCGCGCCATTTCTATGATGTTGAAAGACTAATCTATGGACTTAATAATGATAATAACACTAGTATAACATATAAAGACAAGATTAGAATTTAGCTTATTCAATTCCTTTATTTAATTTATTTTTAATTTTATTAAAAACTATTATATCAATAATATAGTAATGTTACATCAACATTACATTATCACTTAACTCATATTTATTTGAAATATAAATATAATTTTTAAATGTCATATCATTAAATTAATTATCACTTCAATAAAATATATCATGTCAGTATAATCAAATATTATATCAATATAAATAATGAAATTTTTTTAATACACCTAATAATTAGATTAATATTGTTAATTTTAAAAATATAGAGATTTAAATTTCAAAAATTATTATACGGAGATTAAATCTATTTCTTTTGATAGAGTATAAAAATTAATTGTATAATTTGATCATCATTAAATATTAAAAAATTATTAGATAACAAAACAATTATTTGTTTATGATTAATCAAGTTTAAGGTTGAAGGAACCGGTAGGAGCTGAGGGTTGACGGTGAAGAGGGAAACGAACCAAGCCACGTGGCTCAATGAAATTGAGAATGACTGAATAGTCCGCCGATTAACACGTTAAAAAGAAATTTTAAAAAATAAATAAATA